GCCTGTCCACCGGCTAATTACAAACCCATTACCTACTTGTACGCGTATGTTACTGAACGGAAGCTCAATCTTCATGGTTTTGGACTCGCAATGTGCTTGTCAAAATATTCTAACACATGATGGATTTATTTACACCATAACATTTGATGATAATGTATATAAAATGGTAGAACAGAAATAAGTTGCCGATTATTATTATTATTATCAATTAAATTATTACTATTAATATTAATATTTATCAAATTTATTTGGACTAGTTCTTTAGGCTTAGAATCTTTTTTACTACATTTATAATACAAATGTGTATTCGTTAAGACTAGTGTGTCCGGTGAATACACCTAATATTTGAATAAATGAATAAAAAATGGATGAAAATACTCGAATACACTTTTTTTTATTCGTTAAAAAATGAATAAATATTTTTCCATTTGAATGAATATTTTTTGAATATTTTCATTTTGTATTCACTTTTATTCTGTATTATCTGCATATTATAACTTGTAAGAGAAAACAGAAATCTATAAAAACAATGGCTACGATTACACTGTGCGCTTAGTCCGTCACATATAGATTAAACAAAGATATTTTTATTGGAAATAAATAATATATCTCCGAATTTAATGTCCACAGATCATAATGAATGACGTGCTCAAGATATCTTATAACACGTTTTTATGATATTACTATGACATTACTGTGATCGGAATATGTATGGCGTTCTATCAAATAAATATTTATAAATTAAAAATGTATTACTTTCTAAAATATTTTTCAAAATTTCTAAGTTACCTTTATACAATTTGAATATTACAATGACAAAAATAAATAAAATTCATTTTTTTTTACTTAACATCATTAAAGCCGGTTATAATTAAGAGTAACGATTGCTTATTGGATGCTTTTCTTCAATTATATATATTTTGTTTGAATGAATATGAATACTCGTTAAATATTCATACTTTTTTGTAAATAAATATTTTTTGAAAACCCAAAATTTTGAATAAATACAATTTGGAGTTTAATTACAATTTTTTGTGTTCATTAGGTAGACTGAGATATCAATAATTACAATCCAATATCAACAATTACATTTCTAACGACGAGATATTGCATACATTCATCATTCGGCAAATATGAAGTTTCAAGCTTTAAAGGTGCTGTAAAGAAATTTCGATAAATTTCTACACGGCCATTAATTGTCTTTGCAAAATTATTAATAATCGTTGTCGTATTGGCAATGGAACTCCCTCGCGATACATCACACGGGACCTACCAATCATAGGTCGCATATCACAGTTTTACTAAGGAAAAAGGAACGACTACGAATGACAAGTTTGCCCGGAGCTAAAGATTAAGAAAAGGAGAGAAAATTGGGTACACGCAGTATGTTATTAAGGATCACTGTTTCCCTGCGGACATTCACGCGCGATGCTACATGTGTAATCGAATCGATATGTCACCTCGAGCAACGGATAGATAAAATAAATTGGCATCTTTCGATTAAAATCCAGATTAAAAAATCAACAATTTAAAATTTATCGTTTTCATGCTTTCAACATGATCATAATATCGTACACTGAGAAAAAATATAGTCAATTTTAATAAATATTTAGTTCAATACTAACTAAACATTTACTTTACTACAGTAAATAAATATTTGTTTAATAAAAGTAAAATAAAAGATTGTTAAATCAAATTAACACTATTATTTATATCACATAAATATATCTTTATATATTTAATAAATATTTAGTTGGCAGTAACTAAATATTTATTAAAATTGATTATATTTTTTTTCAGTGTACAAAAAATTAATTCCATTCATAGAAATGTCTAAATTTTAAGAGACATAATAATCTTTATGAATAAATGTTCATAAAAATAATTTATTGTTAGTCACGCCTATCCAACTAAAACTGATTTCACCAATTTTTTGAGTTATTAAAGTATGCATGGAATATTAAAAATAATTGTACATATTATACACGTATCTATATGTTTAGATTATATAACAAAAATAAATAATAAGTACATATAATTAGAAAGAATATGTTCTATAACAATCGTATAGAATTTCTTCAAATATTTGCTTTATAAAACTGAAATAAAGTTTTCAGTAGAGGTTTATTTTTATTACTAGTCCTGCAGTGCTACAAACGACTCATAACAATGTGTCGATTAAAGCTTCCCGACCAGCGATAGATCGATCACGGTTTGATGACGAGAATGTCGACGGGCTGGCGCGATGAGAACGAGGATCCGGCACAATAAATAACACGCGAATCCGGCGCCGAATTAATCGATCGTAATCGATCGATTTGCCGTACGCCAATCTGCCCCGTGTGGATTTTCAATTTGCACGGACCGTGGGGGCCTCCGTACACTCGCATCGCGCACATTAATCCACCGATTACTGTACTTGATTACTGTACTCTTGCCGCGAGCAGGGATCCGTTATCTCATTTGAAAAATCTTTCGCGCGATATCGATTTCGACGCATCTTATTTCTTTCACCTTTAGCGATACTTCCGACTAATAACATATCTATTTACCAAAATGTATTGTATCTAAATTGTACCAAAATGATATAGTAACTATGGTTGTCAATCACGACTCTATTTAAATGAGTTATTATTTCTTAAATAATTTACGAAATTTCTAAGAAATTTAATTAAATATAGAGTCTACATTAAAGTATTATTTATTTAAAATACATCTTTTTTATATCATCTGATTCGTTTTCTATGCTTATAGAAAAAATTTTCTAGTTCTATAATACATTTTAATTGTGTATTCAGTGAAGTTTAATTGCATTAAAAAATTTCTTTTTCACATTTTATTGTTGAACATTCAAGACTTTTTACAAGATCGATTCGTCATTCTTAGGCATTAGGTAAAATACACGTTTAAACGCATTATGGTCTCTCGTAGTGAGACAGAATGTAATGACCACTTCCAATTTTTGTAAAAATGCATTGATCAATGATGAATAAAAATCAAAGCATCCGGCTGTCATGATTAAGAAGCTAGCAAAATAACGTTTTAGGTCCCGATTTTAGTTACGAAGCTATTAACGAAGGATATATCATCAGAGTAACAGACTCTTATCTCTCTTTTCTTTCGAAAGAAAGAGAGAAAGAAAGAAAAAATTATTCGCGTGTCCAGCATTGATTGACAATTATCACACTGCCCACGTTGATGTTACACGCACAGATCGTGCGAGGTGGATAGGCAGACAAACGCACGAACATACGTGATCAGAAAGAAATATTACGGAGCTCGATGACCTTTTTGAGCGGCGAGACTAGCGGTCAATCTCGTTAACTCATTGAGATTTTCTTAATGATAATTTTTCGCAATAATAAATTAAGTTCGCGCGAAAAAAAAAAGATATCTCAAGAACCTTAAAATGACTCGAAAGAAGTTATGACATATTAAAAATAACGTTTTAAAAATTACTTTTCGAGTAACATGTTTTTCGCTGTAATAAATTGATATTCCACCTCAGATTCGTATTGACAATTCTATTTGATTTCGCACAATTTAAAACAAATTTTATTTCAACAAGAATTTTCATTGCTTCTAATGGTTGTATTTTTAAATATGATGTCCATAAAGATAAACCGCGATTTGCCGCTTCGATGATTCGCGGATTTTCTTAAACCGTCAGTTGAACGTCGCAAGAGCAATTTATTACTTTCCAAGTGACTTTAATGCAAACTGGTCTCGCCGTGTGATAATATCTATCTGATAAGCTATCCTCACGATGTTAGTTGCCCGATCGTGCGCAAACGCGCCGTTGATCAACATTTCTGTGTTCTTGAATCGAGCCTGTCATTAATAACTAGCCGACAACCGAGACGCTCATTACTTTCGATTTAAATGGAGATTACTTTCAAAACGTGGATTAATAGTTAGCCGAAACGGATAAACCGAATGCGATTTATCCGAATCGATTTAGAAGCGATTTCTAAAAGTAACATTACATTATAATCCACAGTCAGTGATCAATTGATCGATTCATTTTAATCAAATTTATCCCTGTATAATCGGCAATTACCAACTTACAATTTGAAACTTTATCCATTTCGTATGAAAATGTCATTCAATAGTTCATGATTTTATTAAAGTTAAGATTTATACAAGTACATTTAACGAGAAAGATATTTAAGTAGAATAGAAGATCAAATCGTAAAAAAAAAAAATATATAAAAAAAGCAGGGTTGGATAGTGTTAAGTTAAAAAGTTAATTAATTTTAATTTAACTTACATTAAATTAATTTAAGTTACATTTTAGACTCTTAATTTTATTTAGTTACATTTTATCCGTAGCTATCAATTTTTTATTTAATTCTTTGAAGTCTCAGACATAATACGCGGCAAAAGCGATAACTTAAAATGATGTGAAAATTGCAAAAGTGAGTAAATTTACTAGGTGTTGACTAATGAAATTCTAGTGAATAAATATTCTAGTGAATTTGTTCACTTTTGTAATTTTCACCTCATTTCAAATTACACAATCGACCCTCAAATTTCAATCTGTCAGAAACCGTGTATTTCGATTATTATATTATCTATTATTCCTTATTACTATCGTTACTTCCTCGTATTGTGTCTGAAGCCTTAGTCATATCACAGTATTCATAGAATCTTATATATTAAACATTATATATAAACAAAACATGTAAATAAAATACAGAGAGATTTTCTAAATGAAGTATATATTTGTCATTTCCGTTATTTAAGACTAAAATTCTGGAATCATGAATTAAAAAAATAAAAAAAACAAATTTAAGTTTTAACTTTTCAATTATTTTTTTTTTATTAACTTTTAATTCAATTAATTTCATTATAAATTAATTTGTATCTTAACGTAAGTTAAATTTTCAAGGTTGTTAACTTTAACTTAGTTTAAAAAAAAGTTAACTTATCCAACCCTGATAAAAAGTTGAAAAAACTTTTATAGAAACTGCGAGAATGTAATGTGAAAAAAGTCAAACCTTGTGTGCACTCATCAATGTCCTCGGAGCAGTCCAATCCTTTGTATCCGGTGGCGCAAGAGCAGGTGAAGGATCCGTTGATAGGGCTGGTGTCACAAATCGCGCCCTCATGACACGGATTCGACGTACAGGCATCATCGAGATGACAAAGCAGCCCTATAAAAACATAATCGTTTTTCTTTAAGAACTCATATTTATTTTATTACATATTTATCTATTATATTTTCTATTATATAAATCTTTAATTTAAAGTGAAATTATCTCTGTATAATATTTTTTTAAAAATTTATTTAAATTTATTTAAAAATTAAAAATATTTCATTTCCATCTTAATAACAAATATTTCCGAGTGACAGTTTCTTAAGATTATAACATATCATAATAAATAAATCATAAAAAAGTCAACACGCATTTTTTATCAAGTATTACAAATCTTGTTTTCAAAATGTGTTTTCATTCATTGATATGAAAATAATAGGTAATTGTTAAATAATTTACAAAACATGGAAAACGCATGTAACTTTCCGATTTCCTTCAACAGTGAATTATACATCTGTACAGATTATTATAAAACTAATTAAGGAAATTACCAAGCATCGTAAACTAAGAAGGACAATATAAATTGAGAAAGCTGGGACCGCGGGATGTAATTTTCCTTGGGAAGCGGATCGCGTGTGCGTTGAAACGAACTTTTCTTTCAAGTTCCTCCAATAACGGTACCAAAGTCCCCGGGATATTCATATATAAACCAGAATAAGTGCATGCAGATGCAAGAGCACACCCGCGCACAGCTAACTGTAAGTATATCTCTACTGAACTGAAAGCACGCCTGAAGGCAACGCAAGAAGCAGCCATTACGTGTTTATGTTTTGCGTTGTGCATCGCGTGTTCGTTAACTACGCTACTAGTAAGTCCTCTCTTTCTAATCGTCGAAAGTAGTAAGAGAAGATGCAGAACGTGATATAATTTTTTCTTAAAAAAAAATGTACGAAATGAATATGTTGCATCAGCATGTCTAGATATCAAATAAATTTATTCATTTATTTTGCAAAGTTGGTACATTGGTAATTTTTCATAAACAATATCCTTCTTCATCGATATCGTTAATGACGTTAATAAACTAAATAGATTACACGATTCAATGAAATTGTAGTCACTCGGCTATAAACGCAGCTTCCAATAATGGCGACGGTGGATCTGACAGCGAAAAAGGAATATACCTGTATTTGGCGATCGTCGCGCGAATCGATCTGAAAAGCGTCTTCTACTTCGACTACTCCCGCGGCAGGGCGAATAAGGACAGAAACTCGTTTGCAGTCCCCAAGGTCGACACACGGCGAGAAGCCGGGGCTCCGGGAGTCTTCGGAATCTCGAGATTCCGAAGGACCCGTTCTACGCTCTCTATACGTAGTATATCGGCACGTCATACCGACCGCATATGTGCAGCTGCACCTGCCGATGCATTGCCGCGTTCGCAGTGCGAGTCCTGTTCTCGATACCATACTCGGTATCGAGTTAATCACCCTGTTCTCGCGCGCGAACTCGCCAAACTAAACTTGGAAAGAGACTCGATTTTCTTCCTTTTTTGAAGACGGAGACTTTGACTTCCGTTAAATTGTTTAGATCGAGCGATATTTTATAGGGTAACTCCGGCAAATACGCCGCGCTGGGATTTACGCCGCAGAAGTCAAAAAAAATAGGAGTGGAGGTAATTTTCCCGCAACTACTCTGTTACATACCTTTATATTAGCATTGTGTTATGATTTCAATTTCTTACTGTTAATATTAATGAAATTATTGTGAATTGAATCGATTTGTCACTGTGTTAAGTAGCGCCATCATAAATTATAATCTACATAAAATGATTACCGTAGGAAAAGACTTAGTGATTGTTTCGTGATACATGAGTGTAGAGGAATAGTAAAGCATGTTGTATAACAAAATACAAGTACTTTGCTCTTGTATTCTTTGTTTAGTTTGTCGTCTTGTATATCCCACCTTTGAACATTTTTAACAGGCGGGATTTATGCCCAAAGCACAGTACATATAGTAGCGCAACTCTCCTGATTTTATGTTGGTCAAGATGGAATGGGCATGCGTGAAAATAAGTTGCCCCGTCTCTTTTCCTCCTTTTTTTATTGCTCTCTCTCTCTCTCTCTCTCTCTCTCTCTCTCTCTCTCTCTCTTTATTTAAGTAAGCGTTTCAATATTAAACATTTGTCTTTCAAGTATACATGGTTCAGAGTAGAAAGGGAAGTATTATGTGTGTATTGTCCATTTGATGAAATATTGTGTGAGAACTCTCGAGAGATTGGTCTAATTTTTGTGAAAAAATGATAAAGTGACGAACAAAAAAGTAATATAGAAAACTAAGCAAGAAAGATTTCTTTTTATTTGTTGTATTTTAAACTTTTTGGACATTATATGTACATAAATTTCTTTCATATCAGCTTTCTCATAATATTTTCATAGATATATAATTATGTAATATTTCTTTATATAAATATTTTAAAGTTAATTTAATATTTTTCCTAATTTTTCTATATTTTTTTCTTTATTTTTCAATACATTTACAATTTATTAATTTTCATAAAGTTTAAATTATTTCATTGCAATATTAGATTTATTCGCGTCTAATATGCTCAATATATTCCTACAATAGCACTTACTCACTTCAACGAATTCGCTGGATTACGATATGAATAAATCTAGTTTTGCGAGGAATTTTGACAGAGTGAAAAAAGGAAGGAGAAAGAAGTTTAGATGGTAATCGTTAGGTAACTTACTTATTTCACGCATGCGCACTCCATTTTGGCCAACATTAACATCAAAGGTGCCGACAGAAAGTTGCGCTACTGTATATACTGTGCCCCAAGCATACAAAGTGCGCAGATTCAATTCAGTGCACTAAATACAATAAACGCATTACACGAAATATATATCTCATATCATAACACTTGTAATATATTTGGGAAGTAAGAATTGTAATTATTATTTATTACTTCATATACATATTGATCTTATTCCTCCTTAATAAAACTTTATAATCGTATTTTATAAATTATTTATATCATTTTACGTCTTATTTATATGCATTATTTGTAAATTTTTTACGAGCCACCCGTACTCCCCCCCCCCTCCCCTCCCCTATGAATAGTCATACATCCCTTATGGGATATACGACAAAAATGCAACAGTTTAAAAAAGTTCATTTTTTAATATGAAATATAAATATTTCAGATTTCTAATATTTTTTTTTATAATAGTAGACAGTACAAAGTTTTTATGGATATAGTTCATTTACTTTAAACATAGTAAATAATACCTAATAAATTAAATTTTTGATAGATGCGGCGTATATACTAGAGTTACTTTATATGTTTACGACGATTGGTAAAATTCGCTCAAATCAAATAATCGCTATTGTTTGTAACAATTTTTATAAACTCTTTGAGACTCATCTTGCGAATTAAATTAAGATATTGTATATACTTATAATATATCCGTAATTTTAGCATAGCAAAATGTGTAAAAAAATATATATAATCCAAAAAGTATAATTTTTGATGTTACTATTGTTATGTATACGCATTAGCTTACTTATCATATTATATTTCTTTCGAAATATAATATATTCACAATTATTTTAGACATTTAAACATACTCTGTCTGAATACACTCCGATCTAATTTTAGGGAAACCTAAATAAATAGAAATGTGTCTAAATAAATGCGCTATAGGAAATATTATCTTAGTAATGATCTCTGTTTTTACTTTCCATATTTTGTGTTAACATTCTACAGAAAATCACTCACGACTTACCAGTCTTTCCATATGTGCATTGGCAATAGAAGCTGCCAACGCGATCGATGCAAGTTGCGCCGTTGAAGCAGGCTGCGCCTGCACAGTCATCAATGTTGACGCTGCAATCGGGTCCAGTCCAGCCATTCACGCATATACACGAATAACTACCGTGCGAATTCGTGCATGTGGCCCCGTTGTGGCACAAGGACGGTCGTACCGAACATTCGTCCACATCCAGTTCACATTGCGTGCCCGTAAAAGCCGGTGGACACAAACAGGAATACTCGTTCACTCGGTCCATGCAGGTGGCACCATTTTGACAGAGATTGCCTGGGCAATCATCAATATTCTCCTCGCAGTGATCGCCTCGGAATCCTGAAAGATAAAAAGATCGCAATACGTTATTTCATTATCACAGAAAAAACTAGAGATATTAAAATTTAATCTTAAAATGAGAAATGGAAATAAAGATCCACATGAGACGCAAATTAAACAATGAATACTCTTATATAATAAAAGATAAAATATTAAATAATCACGTTAAAAATAATACAAATAAAATTAATACGAATATTATTATTAAACAATTTTTGTAAATAGATGACAAATGATTTCAGATGCGTTGTTTAAATAATTAAACTATCAGTACTGGTGGAATTCTCAAATCGTCGTAATTAGCTTTGATTATTCGATTTCATTCGTGACACTTGAATGCATTTGCATAATTATGATCGGCAGCGCTATTAATAATCATGTGAGTATTAATAGCCTTAGAAGAAGGAAACAGTAATCTTTTACGAATCGCGGAGATATTTTCTAATCGACGTTTAACGAGAGGACCGGACGATGAAAAAACAAAGAAAGCGATTGCGATCATTCTCGGCAATGCATCAGCATGATGTTCGTGGCATGATTATAAAGAGAACTCATTACCACAACACGTCCGCCGGCGTGAAAAATCGAGACGCGCCGTTGATGTCAGGCGTCGGTTTTATCACTTCTATGAATTTATGCTTCGATCGCGCGACCGAGGCCAACCGAGTAAGAAGAGATCGCAAGCTGACATGCCGAAAGGATAAAGCGATGAGCTCCGATAACCATGAAATTGGCGCTCCGATACGCCGGGACGGATTTCTTCCGGCCAAATCGCGCGAAGAAACGGTAAGCAAATAGAGGCGGAAACGTCTGAGACTGCGTGTACGTCAATTTTTACAATAAAATGCAATGCACAGTTTCGTTAACGTGGACAAGTTCATATTTTGCTATCCCAATCAGGGAATACATGATGCAAAGTTTGTCAGATAAAAAGCGTTTGGAAAAAATCATAGTACAAGCGTACATAATTTTTTTTTGCGCACTTGATATATGCAATGTTACACAATTGAGTTGAGTGGAAATTAAGTGGAAGTTAAGTTTTGTTTTAGAACAGACTGTTTCTAACGTCAACTGATTGTACCTGCGTAGTTCTTAAACTTTAGAAGGATAAGAAAAAGACCGATAGGAATCGATGGTGGATCAATCGAACAGACCTTGCATGACTGCTCGATTATTCGCACATTATGGAACTTTATTCATCCGTCGCTTTCTGCTCTTATTCTGTTGGGCAAAACAAACATTTGGACACGCGATAGCTAACGAATTCGCGACGGTGACCTGAGAAACCTTTTATTACGTGTATATTATTGCGTGCAATACATAGCCTTGCGTTTGATAAATATTTATAAATCAATCGTACTATAATAAGTGTTTAATAAAAATATAAAGATTATTGATTAATTTCGACTAACATTGTCGACATAGATATTTATAACTTAAAATAATTCTGAACTTTCTAATTCTTATATTTTATGCATCTATTTTCTGCTCAAAGCTTCCATTCTGATATAATAATTTAGATTTAATTTTAAATACATATCTATTTCGATTATATATATCAAAGATAAAATAAGTGACGTATAAAGACATGTATCTTTTTTAGGATTTAATCTTTATCTTGCTACGGACTGAAAGTTCTGATAATAAGACTGTGAAGAAACAAGCGCAACAGTAGATAAGTCACTGGTATAATTAAATGGCGATAGGAAAGGGTGATCAGTAAACTCTGATTATAAGTGATCCTTATACAAGCAAATATCAAGAAAAGAGACCGCGAACAGAAAACGAAGTGATAACCTAATAGAACCGCTCAGCAATTACCATGGCGACATGTTGCGCAAAACGTCGATATTATTGCGAGACTTGTATGTAGGTTTTATTCATTGCAAAATAAATCTCGCTAAGAGAGATATACCGCTAATTACTGGCAAGAACACATACCGGCACGGTATAGCGCGCACTTATTAATATATTATTGTAGTATCAGTAATTCATTTATTACTGTTACATTATCTAACATTTTGTCGCATCGATACACACTTACGTAATATTTTCACAACATATAAATAATTTATCTTTTATGCTAAGAGTATAACGAATAACTACATAACATTACTGTAAATAAGTAATGCATTAAACATCAGTGCAGCAAATTTTTAATTTTTAGTCGTATGCAATTGATTGTATATATATATCATATGAATGCAATTATATTGCGAAAATAGTATCAAGCGTTTAAAAAAATTTTCAATTTTGTCATTCACGTTGTCATGTAAAATATTTCGAATAATCACATTAATATTCTTATCGATATATCATCGTAATGAGATTGCATTTTCTTGATTCTGATAATCCATTGCGACAAGATAAGTGCGTTAGATCAGATTAAAACGTCAAGATATTTGATGCACACGGAATGATTAGACGCGAAATAAAAACGCCCTAAGAAAATCCGGATATGTGCAGCTCTCGATCAATATAAAAAGTATAATCCCCCCCCCCCCCCCCTCTCTCTCTCTCTCTCTTTCTCTCTTCTTTTACGTGTTCTTCTTTTCTTCTTGCTCTTATCTACCGGTATCAGCAGTTACTCGGTGATACATACCTGGTCATGGACCACAGTTAACATCTAATGGCGCGCATAATTTATGCCTCATAGAACATCCGACTATGCTGCCCGCGGCTATGTAGCAGCGACGACGACGTGACTTAGGATGAGAATAGTGATAAAAACGCAGGCCAGCACGTACTCATGAAGTCTATCACGTTATTATTATTAGAAGCCCGCGAAGGATGCCCATGGCATTAATGTTCGACGCGAAAGTCGAGCCAGCAGATTCATCGCAATTCGTCGAAATCATTTAAGAATGGCTTCGTAGACTAGTAGCTTCATAGACGTAAAAGTTGATCTTTCCTCATCCTGATAATTGATATATCGATTCACGATTTCTTATATCATAGTGACCTCTATTTATGTCAGTTGATGATAATCATTAAGTAGCCCTTTTGAATATAAACAATATGATAAATAAAATAGACGGAAATAATTAATGAGGATCAAATGTGTGTTTTCATTTTTATTTGGGCATTTGCAATTTTAAGCGATTAACGAGAGAAACGTCACATCATAGGAATTTTCAGATGGTATGGATTTCTCGCAAGGTGCGCACGGATAGTCGCACTCGAAAGGTTTCAAGCTGGAATTTTGAGATCGAGATTCCGCTAAGAAACTTCATAAGGGCTTCTTTTCTTCTCAAATTACCATGTTAAAAAAGACATGCCGTTTTAGAGGTTTCACATCTATCTCTAAGATTTTTAATTCAAAAACTCAAATATTCTTTTTCAATGTGTAATAAAAATTAATGCAATCATTGCAGTAATATAAAAATACGGTCGCAAGAAAAAAGAGAGAGGAAAAATGTAATATCTGATGCAATGCAATATAAATCATAAAGCATCTGATAAATCACTAGAATACGGATGGATAAAAGTGTATATTACGATAATTTATCAAACGAGATATCATAAAAATTTTTTCCTGTATGTAATGCACATCGCAAACTTTTCTCGTGATAACGCAATTACAATATCTTGCTCACTCGAGGTCTTTTTCCTCGGAGGAGACTCCGTTACAAGAACAAAATTGCGGCTCAACGTTCGCGATGGCATTTGCACATTCCCTTCCTCGTGACTGGATTTCCCCTGGAGGTGCTCACTCTTTCTCTCTCTCTC